TAAACCCCTAAACCCTAAACTCTTCAAACAGAGTCCTATCGCTCCCTAGGCCGAGCTCTCGGGCTGCGATGCCTCGAGCTGCGGCTAGGCTTCTGGGGGTTTGAGATTTAGGTAGTTGTCGAAATTAGGGTCCCCTTAGGGTCCTTATGATAAGGGTGCCGCACTATAATGGGGACGTAAAAAGGGACCCTAATTTAGAGAACTGCCCATTTAGGGTTCTAGGGCTGCGGGTTTGCGATTTAGGGCTCTAGGGTTCTAGGGTTCTGGCTTTGGGATTTAGGGTGTTTAGGGTTCCGGGTTTGGGGTGTAGGGTTTAGGGGTTCTAGGATGTGGGGTTTAGGGTTTGGAAAAGCTTTAGGGTTCAGGGGTTCCCGGGTTGAGGATTGGGTTTGGGGCGTTAGGGGTTTAGGGTTCTACTTGGAGGTTCATGGGTAGTTATAAGTGGAGTTATAAGTCCCCTAATATAGGTTATAACTATAGTAACCCTACTTATAACCCTACTTATAACTACCCATGAACCTCCAAGTAGGGCTTAGGATTTGGTGCACTGGGGGGGGGGGGGTAAATGATTTCGGGCGCTGAGGATTTCAGGACCTGCGGTGTAGGGTTGTGACGATCCTTTGCGGGATCAAGGTGTTTGTAACTACTTGGAGGGTCGGGAGACTTAGTAAGTAGGTAATAAGTAGACTTATAAGTACCCTAAAAGGGACCCTAATTGGGGTTATAGTACTTATAATTATAGGTCTATAAAATAACCATTTACTAAGTCCCCCGACCCTCCAAGTAAGTAAGTCTAGGACATTGTCAGGTGGGTAGTTACCGTTATAGGAGCCTTATAGAAGGTCTATATACCTTATGGAAGCCTTATAGAAGCCCTAGATACCCCAAACTCCCCACCTGTAGTTTCCTTTAAGTAAGGGTTATGACAAGAGTTGCATGTCCTATGGACCATGTAAGCCCCTGCTCTTGATCCCTCGAAGGAACCTCAATCCCTAACCCTTACAGGAACATTAATCCCGAGGCCTTACATTGTAAGTTAAATGAACCTCAACCAATACTAATTTGAGGGCTCCTTGCTATAATCAAAGTATAATACACCCGAAAACCCTGTTCTAATGATTATGCCCCTGCATGAATAATGAGTAAACCCTGAACCCTTAAGCCCCTAAACCCCTACACCCCAAAAACCCTAAACCGCAAAAACCCTAAATCCCAAAACCCCAAAAACCCTAAACCCTACATCACCAGGATTACAGTTTCGTCGCACTTGACTAGACCAACTTGCGGAGGACGCGGAGTACTTGGAAGTGCATTTTACGTGGCCTGGCAAGCGGAGGAATTCATCCACCGGAATAAAATCTTACTACTATAATGTTCCGGACGGAGGACTGGGTGGAGGAGTCTACGGGGAACCCTAAACCCCAAAAACCCTATATTAAACCCTAAACCCTAAACCCTAAATCCCTGATGAGCCTTCGCACCTGAGGCTCCTGGACCTGGCAGCGCCGGGCCACAGCGGCGCCAAAGCAGGAGCTTCCCGGCCTTTGAAGGGCTGAGGGCTTTGGGTTTAGGGTTTAGGGGTTTAGGGGTTTAGGGTTTAGGGTTTAGGGTTTAGGGTTTAGGGGTTTAGGGCTTACCCAGCCTCCGCCCCTCAGAACAGCAAAAACACTTCGGCCCCAAAGCCCTAAATGCCCCTGTGGGTTAGGGTTTAGGGTCTATGGTTT